TAAAAATACCTCTGCTTCCACTATATCCATCTAAGCATTTATACGGTATTCATTTATTATAAAGCAGTGTAATATCTTATTTTTCTTTCTCTTTCTTTCTGTCTACTCCCACCATATTTGTATCATCTGTCTTGACATTGTTACATTACCAGTTGTTATTATTTTGAAAGTAATGTTTAGACAATACCAGAGATGGGGAAAGAGAAAGCATGATAAAAAAAAAAAATACTTTGGAGGGTTTTTTTAACAGTCATATTCTAGAAAGTAGAGTATAAGTGTAATGCATCAGTAGTTTGGAGGGTTTTTCTCTTTCTCCTAAATTGTTAGTGTACCAGGAAAAAATGGCACAGCTGTAAACCACCATTAGAAGTAAAAAAAAGAAAAAAGGTGGGGGCCAAGGATATTATGCACATTATCTGTAATTGTAATCCACTCTGAGCTTCTCTGCATAGGGTGGGATATAAAAGTCAGTAACAACAGCAACAGAACTTGCAAATAAGAACTCATTTTGTGGCTAGACACTTGAAATTGTCTTCCTTTATGGATTCGTTGACACCTATTTACATGCCTGCTTTCCTACACATCAGCATTGACATTTGACCTAACATAGCATGTGGAAGGAAAGGTAACTGAAGAGAACAGCCTAAATGGCTGTAAATCTCAGGAGATTTTTTGAGGCTCTTGAGGCTAAAATATATCAGACCAAGCCCATGCCACCCTGCAGCCACAGGTCAGCAGTGTCCTGTAGTTCTTACCTGTCTGCCAAAACTATTCTGAGGATAAATGCAGATCAAAGGAATATTATTTCAACACAGAATGTGCGTTTTCTTACTGAACAAAGGTGTCATAAAAATTACCTTCTAGTTGGTACAAAGGAGACAGAGATATGGAATTGCATACATATCAACATATAGCAAAATAGCGAAGACGCACTCATCTTCAGAAATGCCTACTTTCTACAGTATATCTTTTAATATACTTTTATTCCATTTCAGAATATCTGTGGTTGTATTCCATTAACAAGGAATGAGTTAGTGGTTTACAGTTGTAATAATAATTTAAAAAATCAGCTCAAGTACCAAACAAAATAGAAAAAAATAGAAACACAAAAATACCCTATGCTTGTTGGCATTGGTTGATTTATATCTTGTTTAGTTTAATTATTACTGTTTTGCTTCAAGAGGAAAATCAGTGACCTTTCTAGGCCCCTCACCAACAATGCATGAATTCAATGGGATAATTCATTGGTTTTGTAGAAAAATAAGTAAATTAAAACCTTGAGAGAGAGAGATACTTGAAAGTTCTTTTAACAGAGACTTGCAAGAGAGAATTACTCTCTCTCTCAGGTAACAATTCAACTTGGCTTTTTCAGTAACTCTAGTACTGCCTTCTGTACCGACTGATAGGTTATTAATGTTTCTCTAGTTTTCTTTTTCCTTTTATTTCCCTGCCCTCCTAAAAAAAACCCTTGAAATCAGTTTACCCTTGAAGCCTCTTTGGTTTATTACAATCCTCCAGTTAATCTTTCAGTGAAAGTTACATTAATTTTGAACAGGTATTCTACATATTAACTTATGTTACTTCATCAGCCATTTTGATTAAATTTTTCATCTCCATAGGTACAACAATCTATTGTATTTTAAATTAGTGTCTAATTTTGCAAAGCATAGGACAGAATTATGACAGGTCATATATTACTTTTTCCAAAGAGGGAACTAAGTAAAAGATGCATTTAATTCTAAATACATTCATAGTCCAATTTTTGCAGCATGCTTAATTTTTTTCAGCAAATGAATAGAAGCCCAAAGGTGTTTTTTCCTTCATAAATTATAGTGAACAAATGGGACTGAAACATGGTTAGGAGGATTTTGATGTAATGTTCTATCCCTCAGTCTAATATTTTGCTTAAGAAAAGGCCAGAGTTCAGTCTTTTAAAAAAGCATTGCAAAGAGATAGCCTATGTTACTGTTCTGTGCAAAAACCTGTTAAGTACATGTTACTAGTTCTCAGTCAACCTCAAAGACAGTGTGTGTGCACATTTGTTAGCAAACATATATTCTATAAATACAAAAAGCATGTCAAAACATTATAACAGTATGAATGACTTCTTACATGTTTATTTTTAAGCTAATTAAACAATACATTTTTGGTGTTCCTCGGATGAATGCATTTGCTGCTGCTAAAAATATTTTAAAAAATGTTTGACATAGCATTTATCCTTCTATAATACCAGCATAACACACATTCCAATCTCAGCTATCCAAGATGATGTCTCAGTCTCTGTTGTGTGACAATAATGTGAGAAGTGTGTTAATTGGACTCTTCAGGACTTGAAAAGAATGGCACCATCCCCATTCTTTTCCACGTACTTCAGAAACTGTCAGCAAACAGTCTGTTTGGGCAGCTCCAAGGGTAATAGCATTTCAGCCATTAGGTTAACTACTAACTGGTTATCTATGTTTTTTAAGCCAATCAAGCAAAAGAAAAATCCCCAGGAACTTGTATCTGTATTTGTAACTTGTAACTAAAGTCATAAAATATTGGCTGAACTTATAAAAGAACTGCTCCATGGATTTTCACAGGCTCCACAGAGCCGTCTTATCCCCATAAGCCCAATTAAGTCACACAAAACCCTTTCCTCACCCCAATCTGCCATGTTTTGTTTAATTGATATAATATCCCAGTTTGTAGTCGTTAGCTAAATCCTAAAGTACAGAATATACTTTATACTTTAAGTATCACTGTAGTTAAATAATGCTAAAAATATATACTTTCTCTACAGAAATGTTAACTTTTGTTTGTATAAGCTTCATACAGACTTTATCCTGTAGTATTGGAAAGGGTTCAATAATAAAGCAAAGCAGAGGCTGAGAAAAATTGAGAGATGTAAACAAGGCAGAAAAGAGATTCCTTTCAGTCCCCACACCTTCTCCTCCCTCATGTCCCCCTTCCTCCTCTTCCCACCCCCCTGCTCTGGTGAGTTATTAAATAAAGACAGTAAATTGGAGAAAAGGAAGTTACAGAAGCTGCAAAAGTGAAGGATCTTGCTGTATAGTGGCTGAACAGATTTTCAAATAGGGCATTAGCTGTGGGAGTAGGACAAATAATAGGGTGATGGCAAAAAGCAGGGGTGATAGAAGAAATAGAAAAGGTCTGTGAGATGGGAAAAATGCTTAGCTGCCTTTTGCAAACAAGCAAAACAAATTTGAATAGAAGTAAATGGGCAGTCTCTAGAGCTGTTTGAGTATTGTGGCAGTGAATTTGCACTTCTTTCTAAGACAGGGCAGCCCCTTAGCAGTGCAGTTTATGGCTGGCTGTAGGAGTTAAAGGCCTGGATACTGGAATAGAGTCCAGTTCATACAGAATTACCAGGGTAGTATTTGTGATGTTCTTGATAACAACAAGCCCCTGGAAAATGAAATATTGGAACTGGAGAAGGAGGTAGAAGATATGGAGTTGTGTTTGAAGTTATGTTTTTGCTTTGGGGACATTTGCTAAATAAAGTTCTAGTATGATATGAGCTGGATCTTAAAAAAAAAAGATATGGAACGCATTAAGAAAAAGATATTACCTGCCTCAAAGCGGAGTAGATTAGCCTTCAGTGAACTTCATGTTGCCACACCTAGGCCAGGTACAGATGTTACACTTATACTGGTATAAGTGAATGGAAACCATTCTATGCCTGAAACAGAACAGGAGTTTGGCACACAAAACAGGTCTATACCCATAGTAGAAGAGACATTCAGTACACACAGACTAGTTTAAAAATTGTGGAACCTGGTCTAAGATTTCCCCCACCACCATCCCCACCAAAGGGCAAATGTGTCTTCTGTTCACTACTGATCTAGACTACGCTGGTTACAGAAAACCACATAACTTAGATTGATTCCACCTTGGGCTTTTTGAATGTCTGTACCTATCCCTAATGACTGTTACTAGTCTGAGTTAACTTGCTTAAAGCTAGCTCAGGCAGTTTGCAGTTACTAATGTAGACATACACACAGAGCCTTCTTTGACTGTAGTTGCCTTTGAAAATTTGATCTAAACATGTTATTTAGACTCTATTCACTGAGGATCTAGTGCAGAAAGCTGAGCAGAGGGGTTATGTTCCCAGTAAATTGAATTGCCAAACAGATAGGATGTTTTCTTTTGTAGAAACTGGAACTTTTTTCAAGGTGTATCTTCATTCCTAGAAGTCATGATTCTCAGTCTTTGTCAGTAACGAACACGTGGGATTTCTTCTACTCTATTGAACTATGCCAGAAGAAGATAAATCAGAGTGCAGGTGATGAAATGAAAATCTCATCTGTTTTTCCTTCTCAAGTTCTATCACCTATTTTCATAATGCAATGATCTCTTTCTAGTACTGAGTGGCACAAAGCAACTTGACAACCATCCTTCCTCAAAATGATGATAACGCTTTAAGAAACCATATACCCGATTTCTTTGTAAACTGTAGTTCATGTTGTGTACCTACCTTTGTACGTGCATGCATATACTCTCTTCTGTGCACATATTAAGTAGATGAGTACTTCCAAATTAGAGGGGGGCCTAGATACGTCAATTAAAAAATGTTGCAGGTTCTCCACTGTGTATATTCAAGCGCTAAAAGCAAAAAATAAACAGCACAAATTGACATCTACCACTTTAAGATTTATCTCTTTGGTGTACTTTTCTGGGCATGAAAGGCCAAATGCAGCATATGGCTAATTTCTTTGCTAATTTTGTTTCTGTTTTCTACTCTTAAAATTTTACTTGATTAAAATAGTACAGTCCATTAGTTCTATTTTTGAACAGGTATGTTGATTTTTCTCTAAAATGTAGGTGCTGTATGCATTCATATGTTTTATGTGGCAGATAATTTAGATAACGTACATGTTTATCTTCTATGGCTGTATTATTTTTTTGCAATAAATCATTAATTTTACCACTTGTTTTTTCAGCTCACAAATACACAGCCAAATTAATGTTTTAACATCTGTTCAATTCCATACTTTCAGTAATTAGTTGTGGAGATCCAGGTATACCACCCAACGGAATGAGATATGGCGATGATTATGTTGTTGGACAAAATGTTACTTATATGTGCCAGCCTGGCTATACAATGGAATCAAACAGCTCTGTCATTCGCACTTGTACCAGTAATGGCACATGGAGTGGAACAGTCCCAACTTGTAAAGGTAAAGTATTCATTTGGTTGTCAACCCTACTTCTTTTGTGACATTCAGATCTATTGTTTACTGTTAAAGTTATAATTCCTCATTATATATCAAGACCCAGTATGCCTGGGCACATTGTGATAAGTTATTTTGTCTCTAAGTCTAATTGATTTCTTGGCTTTAGAAACTTTTCTTACCATCTGCATCTTTTATACTTATTTATAAATTTAAACACTTAGCTGTATAGATGGTTTACTGGGGCTCTGAGTAATGAGTTCACTTTCTGCTACCAACTGAGAAGTCATTTAAGCTGATTTTCTTGCTTCAGCTTGATTTCATCCTCTCTCTGCATAAGGCTATATTATACCATAGATAGCATAAGATCTTTTATTCACAAAGATCGTGATAGTGACCCTTGGAATGCATCTCACAGACTGAACTTCTCAGGGAGAGATAATCCAGGACTGTTCCCATCCTTCCCACACATCCTTTCCCTGGTCTCTCCTTTGTTCAGAGTGCATAAATTGAACCCCATTCTATAGTAACAATATACTCAATACTTTCTTTAAGCAACAGCATATGAAAAAAAAATCAGCAAATGGTCAAGTACGCATTTGTTCACCAGATTGTGCTGCTTTCTTGTTCTGACAGAAGCACAAAAAAAAAAAGTACATGAAAAGGAGCTAGAACTTTGTTCTCCTGTTCATCATGTAAGAGTCCTTGTCATTAGGCTGGTAGCTGAGAGCTGCTTTGGGGCTACAACTTGATTCTTCTGTTCCTTGTGTAGGAGTCCTTGTCATTAAGCTACTGGCTGAAAGTTGGCAGATATATGTGGAGGGTGATTTTGTTTTGCCATAGGACACTCCAGAAAGAAATAGGGTTGCTGTGAGATTCAGATTCAAGGTTTACAGTGGAGCATTATACAGGTTGGCTTGACCCTTACAGAAATGGCAGTGTGTTCCCAGTGATGTTGCCCATGCAGAGGAAGTGTAGAAACTCTTCATTCACATCTTACCATTAAAGCAGCACTAAACGAGAACAGGGGAGGCATTCTCTAATATAACTCTAGAAATACCTTGCACAAGGCCTTGGGTGAAGAATTCAGGTTTCAGCTCTGGACCAGAGATCGGGGCTTTTTTGGGTCTGGAGCACTATCAATCTTTCTGTCTGTTAATTATGATAAACACTTATGGCATTATGCAAAAATAATGTTTGGAATCACTGATGTTCTCAGAAATCCCCTCTTTTATTCTTTCCAAATTTCTGTGCAATGAAAAAAGTAATATGCACTAGTAAATGAATGCAACCATTTGTTTTGAATGTGTAATCAAAAGGAATGCATAATGTATAATGATATATTTGGAAATATATAATAGCTAGTTTTTACTGTCAGGAGGATTTTGGCTCCTTTGGTACCATTTAGCTAAAATAATTGGAAAATGAACTGCCTAGAAAATAGATACATTTTTGTCTGAGTGCTATTGAAATACTGGATATAAATGTTTCCCTTGCTTTGTCTCTGCAATGGAAAGACATGTGTATTCATTCTCAAATACGTGTGAATTATTCAGACATAGTACTTTTCTGCCAAACTGTCCTAAATGCACAATTTGTATTTGTAACACAAATTTAAACTGAAAAGCCCTAACAGAGCCCATTAGAGATATGCATTATTAATTATTCAATTTCTGCTACTGTTGTTGACAACCTATAACAGGGTAGTGTTCACTTTTATCCCCGCCCCCCGCCTTTCCCCATTCTGGAGCTTCTGACATTTATTTTCTTACCTTAGCTCTTTTTTCATGATATCAGCAACCAACAGGTCCATTACTTCACAGCTAGAAAGTTGAAATGCAAGCTCTGTTTTACAAAGGCTAGTTATAAAGCTATTTGATTTTGACAGACAAACCATGTCTAGGGGATAAGGGTGAGAGTGTCAGTGATTATTGTGTAACCCTTGCTACTGTATGAAGAAAAGATGAAAGAGCTCTACAAGGGTGAAATGATTGAAAAGGGCAAATGCCACACCCACTTTATTTTTTTTACAAATCCCAATGAGAAAGGGAATCTGAGGTCACCTTCAAATCCTTGGTTTTGTTCTTGAAAATAAATTATTATATTCATAGTAATTTCATCCAGAGTTACCAAATGAAACCTCAGAGCCTCTCAGTAAAATATGGAAAAGCAAAAATGCCATTATGTATCCTGGTGGAGGCTGATTCACGGAAAGGCCAGGTGGCTTCTACCGGTCACACTCAAGAACCTAGCGCTCCTGACCTGTGATCCCTCTAATTTGTTTTTTTCTTGCATGCAGAATGACAGGCTGACTCAGCGTAAGTTTTAAGCTTATGAGCACAGTCCCTTCCTCTCCTCCATTCACATGATCTCTTTTAGCTCTCCCCTCATTAGTTTTCATTCATTACCTTCAACTCTCATTTCCTCCCAGTCTCCACTAAATTCCATGCAGTTATTCCCACTTAATCCTTCCCTTTCTCTTCCTTTCATGTACATTCAGTGGCAATCTCCTCATTCACGTTTCCTTTTTTTATTTCTTCTTTTTTTCCTCAGTCATTCACCTCATGTCTCATCCGTTTCAGTGTCCTGCCCCCATTCTTTCCCCTTTCCCTATTTCAGCCTAATCTCACCCTTTTTTCTATCCTCCCATTCAGACTTCAAAGTTAATTGTTGCCACCGCCACAGCATGCTCACCCAAATCAGATAGCAATGGTCCATCTAGCACCACCTCTTTGTTGCTACTTCTGCTACATAGTTAGGTACCATCAGACAGATAGGCCTATCTTCTTCATTCCTCAGGCCTTAAATGAGGTCCTTCAAAATCTGCAGTCCCTCCACCCCAATGCTTGGGAAGAAAGAGCTAACTTAGCATCTTTCCCTGTCAGGTTGAGCAGCATCAGCAGCCTCAGGAGGGGAAAACCTGAATCATCCTACTTTCAAAGTGAAATATGTAACTCTTAGTAATTGTTTAATAACAATTTTGCAGAGGATTATATTCTTCTGGGAGCATGATTCAGTTTGAGTTTCCAGATCGTAATACACTGAAATCTGTTATCCTGTGAAGAGAAACCTTTGTGTGGAGTCCTTGTATTAACAGTGAGACTCTACAAAGGTATTTCATATGAAAAGTCCCCACTGTAGGATTAAGACCTACATGAAAAGGATGAAAATATTATAAATAGCAATTATCAAAGGTAAAAGTACATGCGGAGGCAGGTGTTGCTCATTGTGTGGTATCTGTTAAGAAAGGGTGTAGCCATGCACACAGCTTTGAGGGCCTTGCTCCTAAATCTAATTCCTGTGCTTTAGCAACCAGACCATCCCTTAATTGGTATCAAGAACAAAATATTGTGGCCAGGTGCAGTAGAAACTATACTTCAGGAGGCATACAAGACAAAAAAAAGTAATTGTGTAGCAAGAACTCTTAGGAATTTGCTGAAGAATATATGTTATGTAGCCTGTACTGTGATCGCCTATGTTATCTTCCCAGCGGGCATGATGCAACATTCAGCTTGCATGCTTGATTATGATAACGAGCAGCTAATGGGCGGCCAAAAAAATAGAGGTAACCGGAAGTGTTAACTTCAGGTGATGTTGCAAAAATACAGCCAGGACGATAACAAGTCACCACTGTATTGCCCTCCAAAAAGGTTAAATTAGCACATATGGTTCTTCTAGTTACTATGTACTCCAGGGATATTTACAGCAGCTGTGTCTAATTATTTTGAATATTATTGCAGCTGTTACCTGCCCAACTCCTCCCCAGATCTCTAATGGAAGATTGGAAGGAACAAACTTTGACTGGGGATTTAGTATTAGCTATGTGTGCTCTCCTGGCTATGAACTGTCTTTTCCTGCTGTTTTGACCTGTGTTGGAAATGGAACTTGGAGTGGCGAGGTACCTCAGTGCTTACGTAAGTATTTCCTTAATACTTATACTTTATCCTACTATTATTTCCCTTATCGCTTTCATCTTTTTTTCAAGCTGTTGCTCTGGTAATTTTGAACTTCCTGTAGCAAAGGTGTAGACAATAATTTTTTTCTAAATTTATCCCAAATGGATTTGAATCCATACAGTACCTAGCAGAGTTTTCAACTAGCAGAGTTTCTTGGGGAAAATGTAGCATCCTGCTATTCTGAGGTAAATCCTTTGTAAGCACTTACTAAGCCTCTATCATGTACATTAAAGTAATGCTAAATGAATGTAACTTTTGGTGCAAACTAAATTAAGCCGGGCACACCAGGGTTAAGAGTGATACTGGTCTCCTGCTCTTATGTTCAGCTAATTCTTCTATTTCAAAATGTGACAAAAGATGCTGTCAGAGGGGAGGGTTCAGTCAGGAACTCTTTTATTCATTCATTACTCAGGTAAAACTCCCACTTATGTCAGTGGAAGTTGCTTGCCAATGCAGTTGACTAGACCCCAGGGTGAATCCCTAACAACTGGATTTTTTTCCCTGTGTTATATTAAGTTACCAGTTCCATGCAGTAATTTTTTATTATCATAAGATTGCTGACACTGATGGATCTTGCATTGCAGCAGATTTCATTACAATAACAAATTTGTCCTTGTTCTTTATGCTTATGTTCTTTCATTGATTATTAAAAAAAAAAGAAAGAAAGAAAGTTGTTCAAAGTGAATGCAATGCTTTCAAAAGGTATTCAGTTGGCTGAACTTGGGAACCGCTTTCTGTTATAAAGCATGTTATGGACATCCTGTGATCGTGACCTAGGAGTGCGTAGGTGAACATGAATAAATCAGTCTGATCTGCTTTGTTTGGCAACATCTATTTCTAGCCTTAGTCTCTTCTGTCTTGATCCTGGAATCCTGCAGTATACATTACATGGGGCTATGCTCTTACACTGTTTGGAAGGTCCAGTTAATGCTCAATGCAGCTGCTTTGTAATTAAGCAGTTTTTCAGACAAAGAACATGTTGCCTTCCTGTTCTCATAGATGAAATGAATTAGCAGTCAGTGCTTGACTCAAAATTATAGCTGCCAGGCTTAAATAAAAGCAACTTATGACAAGGTATTCTCAAAGAGAACTCTTTGGGGATATTTTGACATCTGGAGCATATTTTCTACTTGGTTGTGCATCTGATGCCATTTTGGGCAAGAGGTTGAGTAAAGTCTATTTGATAAGGCCTGGCTATCTGTTTTATTGTCTTTCAGGTTTTAAATTCCTTGCTTTGCATTCAATTGATTGTACAGTATCTGAATGCTAAGATTATTGCTTTTCTAAATAAGAAAATGAGTATAAGAAACAGTAAATAAGACACACAGGTCCAGATTCTTTAAAAGTATTTAACATCTATCTCCATTATATTTCAGTGGGAATTAAAACAACTAAATACTTGCTGAGAATCAGGGCCCTAAACAGAAGGAAGATAAAAGATGAAATGGCATTCTTTTTGTTACTTTAAACAAATATACGTCACCCACAGATGTTTAAAAATCGTCACATTATCTATATCACGTTTTTTCAATGACCAGCCCACTAGCAGTGTCTGAACAGAGACAGTCCCATCATTGTTAATGATGAATTATACCAAGTCCTTTGGAAAATAAAAACACTTTCCAGTGGGAAAAGGAGGAATTCCAAACCTTCTAGTCTGCTGCCAATATGTATCCTTCCATCCCAGAGAAAAATAAGGCTGCTGTGAATTACCATCGTGTCTAGTTTCCATGGTAACTTCTATAAAAGGAAGTTAGTAGGCAGCCAACAATAGTGTGTGGCTGGAGAAAGACGTGTAAAAAAAAAAAAAAAAAAAAAAAAAAAAAAAAAGGGGGGTTTGGGAAAAAAAAAAAAAAAAAAAAATACTAAGAGAAGAGGAGGGTTTGGGAAAAAAAAAAAAAAAAAAAAATACTAAGAGAAGAGGAGGGTTTGGGAAAAAAAAAAAAAAAAAAAAATACTAAGAGAATGAGAGAGTTTAGGTAAAAAAAAAAAAAAAAATCCAGTAAAAACTCATCAACTATCTGGAATGTCAGGGGTTGGGGAGATTTTTTTCCCCTGACAGGTTACTCAGGGGAAAAAATAGACCTCTGTGTGCCAAATAATGCAGCAAAACAGGAATAGTCTAAAAATGTACAGAGATCTTTACAAACTATGATCCTAGTTTTGCAGACTTTTACTAATGAGCACAGTGTTTACAACAGGGAGGAGCTGTACCAAGCCAAATAGACTAATTATCAGACTATCCTCAGTTGAAGGTGGATTATGTTTAGTAACAATTTTGCAGTGGATTATATTCTGCCAGGAGCATGATTCAGTTTGAGTTTCCAGATCATAATAAACTGAAATCTGTTATCCTGTGAAGAGAAATCTTTGTATTACCAGTGAGACACTACAAAGCTATTTAATATGAAAAGTCCCCATTGTAGGATATGGACCTAAGTGAAAAGGATGAACATGTTATAATAAATGGCAATTATCAAAGGTAAAAGTGTATATATATATTTTTAAAAGAGAAAAATTTCATAGCAATCTCAAATCCATAGATGATTTGTTTATTGTTTCTATAGGCATGACTTGTGTATTCTTAAAATTGTGCATTCATTAACGGTGATGGTGTTCATTCTACTTTCTTGACCAGTGGCACATTTAATTTTAAAATCAATCCCAAGCTTCTGTCAGAAAAAGTCCAGTTTTGTGGCACAGGGAACATAGCTGATCAGACCACTGGCTCACGAGAACACAGAATCAAACATCTGATAGCAACCAATGCTTTATTCTGAAGAGACAAGCCAGAAATCTTGGAACACATATAGCCAGTTATTCAGTACTATGCCATGGCTACAAAAAGAAGGCTTTGCATGAGAGAAACTTTAATTTTAAAGCACTGGTTTTAAACACAACATAAAGGTTGACTTTCACGTTGCTGATATTACTTTGTGTCTGTGCTTCTGGGAGCCATTTTTATAGTAGTCCTGGTTAGCCACACTATCTTTCTGATGTTGTTGCTAGGTAGAATCACAGAAATTTAGGGTTGGAAGGGACCTCAGGAGGTCATCTAATCCAACCCCCTGCTCAAAGCAAGACCATTCCCAAACAGACCATCCCAGCCAAAGCTTTGTCTAGCTGGGTTTTGAAAACCTCCAAGGATGGAGCTTCCACCACCCCTCTGGATAATTTGTTCCAGTGTTTTATAACCCTCCTAGTGAGAAAATTCGTCTTGATATTTAACTTAAACTTCCTTTGCTGCAACTTGAGACTGTTGCTCCTTGTTCTTTCATCTCCCACCACTGAGAACAGTCTAGCTGCATCCTCTTTCAAACCTCCCTTCAGGTAGTTGAAGGCTGCTATTAAGTCCTTTCTGTCTTCTCTTCTCTAGAATAAATAAGCCTAGTTCCCTCAGTCTTTCTTCAAAAGTCATGTCCCCAGCCCCCTCACCACTTTTTGTCACCCTCTGCTGTACTCTCTCCAATATTTCCACATCCTTTCTGTAGTGGGGGGCCCAAAACTGAACTCAGTACTCCAGATGTGGCCTTACCAATGTTGACTAGAGGGGAATAATTACTTCCCTTGACCTACTGGCAACACACCTACCAATGCAACCCAGTATGCCATTCTTTAATTCATGTCTTATTTTAATACCTTGTACTAAATGGCAAATGCTTTCTATGCTTCATTCCTTTTTCCGTAGCCAAATTTTGTGGTGACCCTGGTATTCCTGCTCAAGGGCAAAGAGAAGGCAAGAGCTTCATCTACCAGTCAGAAGTCTCTTTCAGCTGCCATATTCCTTTTATTTTGGTTGGATCCAGTACTAGGATATGCCAAGCAGATGGGACTTGGAGTGGTTCATCTCCTCGATGTATAGGTAAAAGGAGATCTATATTACTGTGATTGCTTTCCTTTATTCTCCTGCTATTACATCTAACTGTTTAATATTATTAAATACTTTTACTTTTATGTTATTTTTATAGTACCTATGAAATCTAACTTTTTATTAGAAAAATACAATATATTGTATTGTTTTTTTATGTTGTTTTAGAACCTACCCGCACAGCATGTGAAAATCCAGGAGTGCCACGGCATGGATCACAAAACAATACATTTGGCTATCAAGTAGGTTGTCTTTTTTACTACACTGTCATTCAGAAATCCTCAGTTTGTGGTCCAGGAAACAATGGTGTTGTTTGAAGTGCTGGCTGGTTCTGTGGAGCAGGCTATTGTTTCTTCCAGCTTCTGAAATTGAATTTAGAATCCACTAAAAACCTATTAAATATATTTTTTCTAATTTTCCATGAAAGCTGTTGTTGTTGTTGTTGTTGTTGCATGAAAGTTCCCAAATGAAAGGGAAGATGTTCCACATACTCTGTATTTGGAAAGAAAGTGACCTTTGTAGAAGTCCTTGCATTTTGTGGGGTGGGGAATGC